GCACAGAAGTTCTGAAATCTACATCATGAGCACATTTTAAGAACAAGGAGGACAAACATCTCTCAGGAGTGGTTTGGATTCAGCTGACCTTGCTTTGAAGCACAACGAACAGTGCAGACAACTCCCTGAGCTCCATCTAGACCTTCTCTGTAGGTTTCCATGTCCCCGTGTATGCCTGTGTCTCATTCTCAGTACAGACAAAATAGGGATAATAATGTAAAATGTCCAGAGCTCTACTGACAAAAAGCCCACTATTTCAACTTCTGGATGGGGTGGTAACAGCAGAACAGTTGGAATCCTACATGAAAATTCAAACTATTGAAGTAATCATAATCTCTGACAGCAGACACCTTCCCTGAGGCTAGGAATGAAGAAATCTAATGAATGAAGTGTTTGTTAGCATGAAATTACAGTCATCCTGCAATACAACCTGTCTATAGAAAGTGTTGCACTCTGACTCTCAGATGTAAAGTTAACACAAAAAAGAAAGAGCACACATTCCAGTGAAAATCTGAGCCTACTTCAAGCAAAAACTGAACATACACCAGTCCCAGCTTCAATATTTGGCACATATGATCCTGTGAGGACAGAGATTATTACATGCACAAACGTTCTGTTCGAATTCCTCACAATAATTACTGTTTAATGTATTTCAACTAACAAAATTCATAACTTAGTCCCTTGTATACACACATATCACTTCTGATCACACACTGGGGGGGTGCTCAGATTGAAGACATCTGACAAAAATGACACTGAAATTAATCTTCCTCAATTCAATACAGTTGCATGTAAACTCTCTTGAATGCACTTGGACCTTCACAGAGCAGCAAAGCCCTGTTGCAGAAGAACATCCCTTTTCCTGCTCTAATGAGGATTTGCCATCATTGAATAAAATGTCCTGGAAGAGCTTTGTTGGGAATTGTTTTTCAAGATTAATAAATAGCTAAAATGTCAAGTACATTGTCATTTTCATAACATTTCCAGAAACAATTAAGGAAAGCAGTACACTGCCATAAACCAACCCCCTAAAAAAAAAAAAAAAAAAAAGAGTGTATTCTTGCAATTCAATTTCAGATCTAAACTACCACAGAAAGTCATACAAAGTTTCTCCAAAGTATAATTAAAGAAATAATCATGCTTTCAGACATGGTGAGACTTTTAAGATGTAGGGCTTATTTTTACCGATAAAAGAACAAGCAGTGCAAAAATAAGTGCCCTCTTTCTAGAATGTGTCAGACACAGTTATGACAGAAATCCCATTAATAAAATTCCCCTGTGCATGACTCATTTTTACTTGTCACTTACAAAAAGAACTCAGATTTTATGTACCTTTAATTATCACCTTCCAAGAAAAAGCCATTTGCCAACAACAGCAAAACAAATTAATATTTCACATTAACATACAAAATAGAACATTTCATAGAGAACTTGCTAGGGACCTAGCAAAAAAACCTGAAAAGCAAAGACATGGAAACAGGGCAAGCAGCAGTACCTACCCTATGCATTTCTGCAAAAGGTAGTAAGGTGCAATAAAGAAGTTAAAAATCAGTCTAATTTGGTACAAAGGGAGAATATTTTGGTAATAATTATGTGACAAAATGAGAAATGTAAAGTTTTGTAGGTACTTAATACATTTACATTCTTTACTGTGTTATGATTTTTTCAGATTTTTAAGGCTATTTTTGAGCCTAGAAAACAATGATGAGTTTAGCATATGTTATAATATACCTAAAATTTGCTGCAAATTATAGATACGCACTTTCAACATCACCACATTTTAACAAGGCTTTTATCTGGCAGAAGAACAAAAGCAGAAGCACTGTACTTCACACAATGATAAGCTAGAAAACAATATCATATGCAAAACTAGTAAATGAACCGCAATTACTCCAATTACTTCCTGCTAGTTCTTACGCCACTACAAACGTTACAATGGCAGAGACCTTCTCAGTGATGTTTCCCACTTAAGCAAATGATCTAATTATTTCTAGTCTTAGTTTAAAAGAAATCAGGCAAGTACATTCGTAATTTAATATTAACTACTAAAATAAATTTTCAAAATATATGATGTTTTAGTTTATAAATTAGTATAAACATGCAATTACTTCCATTTGGTTTACACCAAAACAACTTGTATCTACAGCAGTCATTCATACAGCAAAAAGAGAAGTACTCTTAAAAGAAAAGATTCTGCTAAGTAATGCACATACACTCTCTAAATATCTCACATGATGATAATCAATATGAAGTCAAAACAATCTACTTAACTCCACTACAGGAATATATCTTTGTTCTCCATAGTAAGATAACCAAAGTACTCAAAAACTAAGGGTTAAAAAAATTCCTAAGTTTAAATATACAAAGAAACTGCACTCAATTATTTGAAATAATTTTTCTGCTACAAAATACCTTAGTATTCTACCTTACTTAATTTTAACTCATTTGATACTTAGGTTTACAAGCAAAATTTTGCACCTGAAGTAAGCCTACTTACAGTACATGACTACTGATGAACAACAGTATCCCAAGCATGACAGAGGCTCCTTTCAGTCATGTTTATTAATTTTTAAAAAAAAAAAAAGAGAAATTACTAATAATACATATGTTTTAATAAGAGTTACTATTACTTGGTATCAGACTTATGTTAGTAACAAAAACAGTATTATACGTGGTACCAGATTTTAGCTAAAATCTCATTATTCTGTACAGTTCCGTGCTTAATAACTTTTTCACTATCAGTTTTCAACCACTTTTTCTTATAGTCATTAAACAGAAAAATCTCTCCTTTGATTCTTCCAAATGCTTTCAAAATTCTCTTACCTTCTCAGTCCAAAGAACTGAAAGAGATGCTGTTAGAGTAACTTAGAGCTAACATTAACTTGCTGAAAAGTGCAGGTTGAACAAAATATGTAATAGTGAAAAAGTATTGTTAAATTGTTAAATGTGGTAAAGCATTGTTATAATTAATGCTTTTGGTATAGCACAAAAAATAAGAAAGCAAATCAATCTACCAAAATTATAAATAAGTAAAATGGATTAACAGACAACTGACATCCTTGATGATCAAAATGAGAGAAGAGGCATACAAAATAAATAGTGAATAGCAAAAATCTATTATTTAAGGAGTTGTAAAAGTAATAATACTGTGCAAGATTTCTCAACTGTTTGGCAGCATTCCTAGGGAATTCACGAGGAATGGGACATATCATTACAGTCTAAAACAGAAACCCTTTCCTTACAGGCTACTCTGTAAAAACGGCTGGCAGAGGACACTGGAAATTTTTGGTGCCTTAGACTACCTGGTAGGAAAGTGACAGTGTGATGCCTACTGAGTTATGAGACTTCATCAGCCCACAGTCCAGATGCAGATCAGTGATCTGGCCCACCAGACTACTGGCAGATTTCACACCAGTTAAACAGTCAAAGCAAACAAAATCTTCCCCTTAATACTGCCCCCTCAACAACTTGATCTAGCTGAAGATGTCCGTGCTCTTTGAGAGGGGGTTGGACTAAATAACCTTTAAAGATCCCCTTCCAACCAAAACTGTTCTATGTTTCTGTATTTCTGCTACTCCTTTCCAAGGGAAAATGTTTTAGACAAAATGTTGTGTGACAAAATAGAGGTAAGAAACAACTATCTAAACATGCCAATATTAACAGTCTACTATCCCAGTTATTACGAAATCAGGAATCACAGAAACACAGAAAAGTTGAGGTTGGAAGGGACCTCTTGATGTCAGCTTGTCCAACCTTCCTGCTCAAGCAGGACCACCTAAACCCCGTCTGATGAACCTAAGAAAACAATATAAACTTTTTATATTGCCAGCTGTGCAGTGGCAAGTCTATTGATGATATTATCAATGCCATCCTTCTGAAAAATAAACAAAACAAAACAAACAGAAAGACCGGTGCCCCAGGAGTTTTCTTGATTCAAAATGCCATGGAATGAATTTAGACATGATCCTGGAAAGCAAATTCACTTGAAGTCAATAATTACACCCATTTTCCACCTGTAGAACAGTGCAATGACATCATTAGTAGTTCTCAGCGCTTGTCTCTGTGTAAACAGTCATATAAGACTTGCATACCCTTTTAGAATGCCACATGTGCTTCGTTTTGGTCTGCAAATTATCTGAGTGGAAAAATCAGTTTTTAGTGGATGTTTATTAACTTGCATTCTGGATATCCAGCAGCCTAAATTTGAAAGTACTGAACAAATGGCAACTGATCATTTTGGATTTTCAGGAAACATCTGGCCTGTGTACTGAGAAAAGCCACAATGCAAACATGATTCACTTGTGATCCATGGTGCAAAAGGAAAAGCTCAAGAAGCACATATTCTCTGTGAACAGTCATGAAATAAGGATGTCTGCAAACCAGTGATGTCTGTAACAATGTACCAAAAGATAATGTGAATCAATTTTAGGTACATGTGTGCATGTTCTTAATGTGCATAATCATCTGCGTATTTTACATTTGACAGCATTTTTCATGACTATACAACTGACTTCTCATGTACTTGATGGATCACAAAGACCAGTATGTTTGCTGACAACAATTATGTGATAATCTGGGAATACTAAATATCACAGTAAAAAACAATCATACATCTGCAAACTGCTAGGATGTATAATCATATCGAAGTTGAATGGTAATTCTAAACAGCCACAGTTTAATGACCAAACAACTTGAGATTATTTTTAGAAGTAATCCATGGATAAAAACCTTTTTGAACAAAATAATTAAACATACACAAATGATTCTCTTATGGTCCTGTTGACCAATGGGATAAGTTATATTCAAAGTTAAGATTCGTATACAACCAGCTGAACCAGAGATAAAGTAATGAACTATGCAAAGACAGCCTCCCCCAAATTGCATGCTTCTTCAAAATACATTTCTTAGATCATTTCAGTAAAGTCAGGGAGGTGACTGAATGAGTAGAAATTTTTCTAATATAGCCTTGAAACTCCTTCAAAAGGAAAGCAGATCCTTACTGTAGTTCTGTGGAACAAGTTCTGGGTTCTTCGGTGTTTTGAGTTTAAAAGACACATCTCCAATAGTGACAGTATCACCTAAAATAAAGAAAATAAGTCTTTTACTTCTTACATACTTCGATACTTTTAAATATCTAATGTCCTTAAAATTTAAATTATAAGCCTCCTGTGGTGAGGCTGACTATGTGTTCACAAAGCAGCCTCTAATGTGTTTGTGTTTTCTAATTGGGCTCTGCTGCTTTTCAGTACATCAGGTACCTGGACAATTTACATTTAATTAATATTACCTTTTCCTGTTTTTACCTTTATTGCTGCTCTTAGAATCTTAAGCTGTTGGGAGCTATGGAAATCAAGCCCAGTATAGAACACAATTCCAACTACCATTGTTGACTTACTGAAATTAAAACTTTAGCATGTTTGCCTGTAGAGCTATCGGTGACAAAAACTTGTAGGGATGATGATTTTCCCGAGTTTTCAAGCAGCCTGTAACAGTATCTGTTGGAGGTACAAAGTGACCCTGAACTATATGGCGGCAGAACCTGGCACCTTTCTGAAGTTTGAGTGGTCTCAAGAACTTTCTGCTCTGGGTTTCAAAAAACCTAAAGCATCTGGCCATTTTACTTAATGGTTCTTCACCAGGACCTGCCTGTCTTATCTATCTTTCTGCAACCACAGGCTTGAATTAAATTGCAGGACATGCCCTGTGCACTTTCTCATGGAAATCAAAAGTGAAATCTAGTTTGCAGTACAGAAATGGGCAAGCATCAACACAGCAGAAATCACACTGAAAAACAGCACAATGCCCAAAACCCAAGAAAATGAGGTTTGGACTAGTAAGACCACCAAAGTTTATTTTCTTTCAACAGTTTGGGTCCCACAAATGAGTTCAAAAGTATTAAGACCATGAAACTAAGATGACTCCAGCAAAACGGCATTTTTCCCATTACTGTTGCTAAACCTAACACCACTTCCACTGCACTGTAGTGCATGTGTGAGGATGGAGAGGATTGCTGGAGTAAGACTGCTGCACAGGGGTATAGTTTTGCCACAACACTGATTACACCTCATTTCCATGAACTGAAGTCAAGTTTTGGAACTGTCTCATGTGTTTACGCTTTTCTCAGGAGTGAGATGCAGAAAGTACAGAGCCCACAAACAACATCAAACAGGGATCCAATCCTCTTGTAGACCTGCCCTTTGTCCTCTTCCATCCAAGAAGACCCAATCTAAAGTTGCCTATCGCCAGCACCATGAAAGAAGCCAAACAGTTTGGAAGACTAATGCTGGAAGCAGAAAGGGAGATGCTGGAGAAGCAGCTTGCCCAAATTAAAAGAGGCAACTAAAACTCCTCCCACACATGTAGTAGTTCTCCTTTCAGTCAGCCATGACTCTAGTTTTACATTCAAATGCAGTACTCTTCCAGCATACCCAGATGTTACTGGTCATCTCACAGCACTGAGAATTCCCAGGTTCTGAAATGGCTCACACAATTCATGGGAAATTACTAGATTTACAACAGCCAGAGTAGAATAACCTACAGTAACAAACAGGAAGCAGTGAAGAAAGGCTTGTAGCTGATTTCCTGCTAAATTGAAGGGCTTGACTAGAATTCAGAGACTGGGATTCACAGCCTGACATACATCCTGCATACGGGTCCTTACATTGCTCCTGGAGTATAAATAGTCAGCCCTCCATTCTTCCCTAAAATACAGGCAAAAAGTAGTAGGCTGGTGATTGTTCCCTCATTTTATGCAATACAATATAAATATGTATTATACAACAATACAGTTGGAGCAATACAGTGCTCCAATAGCTTGCCAGAAAGTGGGACACAGTACTGCCATATAAAAAGCAGACAAGGATTCATCCCTGGTTCTCAGGGCAAGCAGAACCAAGCAGTTCCCACTCACCATGCTAGAACTAAGCACCCTTCTTTGATTGCGCAAGAGCCCAGAAGTGGAATGGTTCCAAACAGAGCTGGGCTAAGCTAACAATTAGGCAGCTGTCTAGAGCTTTAGCTCTTTCTGGTCCTTGCTGAATTTTCATTTCAAATGCACCAAAGAGTACTGTGCCCTCTCCAGCCTGAAGCATTCAAACACAGTCCAAAAGAAAGTCTTGCAATAGTTTAGAGCCCTAGTCCTGATTCTGGGAACTCTTACATAAATTAAAGTCACTGAACAATAGACACAAGAACTGCAGGGACTAAAATCTAGTCTTTGGTTATCCCAGTGTTTTGCCCATTTCTTTGAGTTTTAAAGTAAGAAAAACTATTTTACTGACTAAGCATCATCACCCTTTCCCTTTCTTCTACTGCAGTTCCAAGCTCACCATTTCTCACTGGGAACAGCTAATAGGGATGATGGCAGGGCACCAACATTTTTGGCACCACACCTTTTTAATTGGGGCTACTCATGGTGATGGTGATGGGGTGAGGGGAAGCCACATGAAGAGTGGCTGAGGTCACATGGCTTGTTCAGCCTGAAGAAGAGAAGACTGAGAGCAGACCTCACTGCAGTCTGCAGCTTCCTCATCAGGGAAAGGACAGGGGCAAGAACTGATCTCTTCTCTCTGGTGACCAGAGAGGCACAAAGCTGTGTTGGGAGATTTAGAAAAAGGCTCTTCAACTGATAGTATGATTAGGCACTGGAACAGGCTCCCCAGAGAAGTGGTCACAGCCTGACAGAACTCAGGAAGTGTCTGGATAATGCTTTCAAGCACATGGTGGGGCAAATTCCTGTGCAGGGCCAGGAGCTGATGATCATTGTGGGTTCCTTCCAGCTCAGTATATTCTATTCATCTATGGTTCTATGAAAATACCTCCATGTTGATGAAAACACCCTAGGAGCCCACTGCTTCCTGCAAAAGTTGACATCTTTCTCATTAGCTCAGCCTGGAACAATAACATTCTAAAAAGAGCAGGTTGCCTTACATATCCCTAATAAATTAGTGACAGTTTCTTTTCTCAGAAATCCCCAGCTAACATGCAGTGAGACAAGAGTCTATGATTAATTAGCTTCTAGCTAAAATCACCTCAGCTCAATAGTAAATACTATTTCATGCATACACAGTCTTCCAAAACCCAGTAGAGCCAAGATGCCAAAACAACAAGATGTCAAACTTTTTCATAATCCCAAAATACATTGGGATGATAATATCCACAGGATAGAATTTCAATTACCTAGTTTATTAGCACAGTACTGAAAAGCCTTTGTTGACTTCCTACACTGCCTTAAAAAAAAAATCAAACAAATAAAAACCAAGTTTCATCTAGGTGAAAAATGAAAAATGCATCACTTCTGGTGGTATTTATGTCAGTCCATATCAAGCTAACTCTTGATCAACACATCTAACCATGTTCAAAAATCCCACAAATATTCCAGACACCAATGGACCCCACAAAAAATGGACCCTTTCATGAAAAATACACTGGGAGAGAACTTACATCCGTACGTAAGATGTGGTGAGAGCTGAGCACACAGTGTATTTAGCTTTCAATTGTTTTTTGCTGCCTGGAGACAAATGTAGCCTCCAGCTTGCATCTGTCCAAAAAGCAAAAATATTAGCAGTGTTTAATAGAACCTTAAGCAATAATAAACCAAGACAGCAAAGTCCATTTTCCTAGCTAAATGAGCAGAGGGAGGATTAGCCCACTAATCTTATCACTCACTTCCACCTGGGCTAAATTTTCTCATCTCAATTTGTTTCTTCTGTAGTTGTTTAAAAACTCATGTTTGGTTACTCCATTTCCACTGTATTTCCAAACCCTTTGAACAGAGATGTCATTCTGGACAGGCTCTTTCTAGCGTTTCACCAGCTGGCAAGGAACTGATAACAGCCTGCTTGGTTAAATGGCGATGTTAAATCAGCAAAACCTGTAATTTGAACACATGTACCCCAAATTGTTTGACTACATGGCAAATTATGGAACTGCCTACATATACTCCAACCCATTCCACCAGCTACTCCCACACTATTGTGGACAAGAGCTATATCCACAGGATTTTGTGACAGAGACTTTGTAGGCTATATCAGTCTTGCTTGGGCAAGCAGGGAAGATGTGCTTCTGCTTTCTTGTCTCCCACAGAGAAAACAGTAACCTTAGATACCACAGTCATTGGGGAAAACAGTGGGATACAAGCAGTGCAAAATATACACAAAGAACCATGGCTGCTGAAACAAAACAAGAGCCACATTGGCCAAAACCCAAAAGGTAAAGGGGACATCCCATTCACGGGGCAGAAAAGACACAGGAGGTCTTTTGAGACCCTATGCAACAGGGGTAAAAAATTGGTAGCACATAAAGACTGAAACCAGTAACATGATTCTGGAGACTCTCTGGAGGAAAAAAGATACATGAACACAGCCCCAATACATGCAATGAGCTCTTTTTCCTGCAGGTGAAAAAGGCAGGTGTGAATTGCACCTCAGGCAATACAGAAACGCATACATGGACATATAGCTACACAGTAACTGCAGACCACTGAATGATACACTCTCTTCTTTAGACCTACATTTTAGCCAGAAACAATATCATTGTCTGTGTCTGTTTTTTACAGTAACTGAGAAGAGCTCTTCAGACAAGCAGGCCTATTTCTTCTACTCAGTCTGAATAGAAAGGCAGCACCAGCTCCAAGCCCCTGAGCAGGCAGCCGGAGGCTGGGAAGGCACTTTGGCAGGGCACCCCTGCATGAACACCATGTGCTTTTATTCTCGCCCAGCATCTCCTACTCACTGTTGGCCAATATGGAACAGTAGGTTTGATGGACCTTTGTTCTGACCCACTGTGGATGATGTGATGTTACAATCTCAGCAAGGAGGCTTCCTGAACATGCAGTCTCACTACGTACTTGGCAGGTTTGACTGATCTTAACAGCCAGTAAGTACCACACCAACTATCCCTCCTCACCTCCCCACCTCCCACGAAGAGACTATTCCCTAATCCTACTATTTATTCCTCTATGCTGAAAAGAAAAAAACACTGCTGTTTAAATTATTTACAGCAACACCGGTCAGACTGCATATCAACTACACATTAAGAACTTTGAAATAGAAAGAAGTTTTATTCTACTTGCCATTTT